TGATATCACTTGTCACCTCCCAAAAGAGCTCTTTGAAGTAGTGGTTAGCCCAGAACTTAAATACTATTTTTCGCTCCTACACGTAGCCAATGTGTGAGTTTTTTTGTCCGTGACAGCTTAGTTAACAACTCAAATTTGAACATATTTATTTAAGTTAATACATAAAGAAATTTAAATATCTTTTTAAAAATTTGAACCCTAAAAGAATGGAATTTAAAGATAATCCAACTCACTTGTTAACACCGGCGGATTTGGGAGAGGGCTTATCCTCTGCGCTTTCATTTCCTGCCTGCATTTTCCTTTGGCTAAATCTCACTTAAAAGTTGTCCAAAAATCAAATAATTAAGCCTCAAGAGGTTATTATTTTTATTTTTGATGAGGAGCTATATTAAAATACTTAGTAAGAATAATTCCCACAATAATCTCCTGACATTTTTTTAAATAAAAAATATTTTAATTTTAATCAAAAATCATCCATAGCTCTCAGCAAACTTATAGTTGAAATGACCAGTTTGATGTACTAAAATCAGTCCAATTCAAGTTAAATAAGTTTACATCAAGCCATTAAAATACAATTAGAAGTTTTCCAAGCATATTTCAAATGAATGTCAAATCTGACGAGTTATAGTCGAACCAAGCTACTCGATAAAGACGAATCCAACAAGCTTATGATTACTAAATTCCGACATCATTAAGACACTTAAATGTTCATCAAATAATTTTTGATCAAAGAAAGCTCTTCGAATCGTCCGATCAAAGTGATTCATATTTCTGCGTTAATTGCACCCAGAACTCTATAAATACAGCCCCACTTCTTCATGAGGGGGGATAGGAGCTTGAGACTTGAAGAAGAGCTTAAAGCTTTAAGAAGAAGTTGAAGACTAGCACCACCATTGTTGACCGTTGTAGGCCCCCAATGACCTCTGTCGACAACTGTCGATCGTCGTCGACTTTCGCCGATCACCGTTGACCACCTTTGATCGTCGTCGACCACCATTGACAGTCATCGACCACCACCGACCGCCGCGTTGCCACCATCAACAGTCGTAGATCACCGCCAACTGTCGTCAAACACCCTTGAACACCATCGTCCGGACGCCGCCATTCGCTATTGGTCGCCATTTGTTTCTAGCAACAAATTCATCAATACGTCGATATTGTAACTTGGGAAACATAACAACTATTTCCCGCAAGTGGGACATATGGTTTCAACTATAATCATCTTTTTATAGATGAACTCTTCAGTTTGGTCAGACCCCGTTGTTTTTCTCTTTCTGAATTTTTCACGTAAGAACTTCTGATGTTATTATTAATTATTTTCTCTTTTCTGAGTATGTGTTGAATCTTCGTACAACGTTAAGACGATAATCCAGTACTCTACCGTCATGAAACTTCTAGCACACATCAAGAGAAAACTTGAAATAATATTTTATTGGTTTTCATTAATTAAATTAATTTTTATGTATACATATCTAACACTTATTTTGATATTTACATTTATAAGTAACACTTTGGTATTATAAATCTATACATGAAAATATGTACATTTCACTTTATGAAGGTTAATGATGATATTTTTAATGTGATGTTAAAGAACAGAGTGATATGCATACAAATATGAAAGTTTAAGAAGTTGTGTGCTATGAATAAAATTTGTCAATATTAGTCCCAAGCTGAGATAAAAAAGATTGAGAAATTTGTTCCACCACTATGAAACTTTTTTCACTCCACCATTATTTGTTAATGTTTTATGAACAAACTTGTCAATCGTTCTACAAATAACTTATTAAATAGTCTATATTTATATGATATAATATTTAAATAAATTTAATTAATTAAAACATATTTATAAAAATATTTCTTAATAACATATTACAATATGATATTAATTACCTCTAAATTTAATATATTTTTCTCAATGAACTAATTCAGTACTTATTTATGTCATTTGATTAAAATAAAGTTTTCTTTTAGCCTACATATTATTTTATTTATCAGATATAAATAAGTTAGATGCTAATTTGAAATCTATTCTAATACAAATCAAATATGAACATTAAAAATTATAAGCAACCTAGGTATAAACATATATGTTAAAGTTTGTCTCAAGCTCGAATTAGACATGAACACCTTATCATTCGACCAGCCAATTCCCAACCATAGCATACTGGACTCAACTGGACTCTATTCCTATCCAAGGTGAGAGATACAAATAAATTTGATGTTCAGTAAATTTAAATCTACAACTTTGATAATAACTTTACAAATTTTATAAACTAATTCCTTAAAACTCAGACAGACACAGAATGTTGAGTTAGTGTTGACCAACATGTTGGTAGGTTTTATATTTTCTGCACAAATAGTTCTAAGATGTTTAATTTAGAGTTAAATTTATAAATTATTTGATCAATAATGTCACAAAATATATATAAGTGTCGAGTAGGGGTGTAAACGAGCCGAACACGAGCGAATATTTCGAGCTCAAAAAGTGTGTTCGTGTTCGGCTCATTTGCACGAGCTGTTCACGAACAAAGAGTCCTTTTAACCACCCTAATCATGTAGTCATAAAACAATAGGGTTTGAGCAAACCTTAATCATGTAGTCATAAAACAATAGGGTTTGAGCAAGATTTAAAAATTATTATTTATATTAAAACATCATTTGAATCTAATTTAATAATTTTTATTCTATTTTCTTAATCAATATTTTAATTGATTATAAATCTTTGTAGCCTTGCAGTCAATTAGATTTTTTTAAAATATTACTTAATATATATATATAAACTTGATGAGTAATATTTCGAGCCAAAACGAGCCAAACACGAACGAACACATCTTAGTTCTCTTAGTTCGTGTTCGGCTCGTTAACTTATCGAACGAAATTAACGAGCCGAACACAAGCTCTTAACGAGCCGAACACGAGCTGTTCGCGAACAACGAGCCGTTTTGACAGCCCTAGTGTCGAGCCATAAATTTAATGATGTTAAAATTTTATGTTAACGTCTGTTTTAAGTAAAATATTTTCATTCTACATTAACTAACCACCATTTGATTAGTAAATATAATAATTTATTTCCTCAGAAAATTTAATTAATTCTTATTTTCCAGAATAATTTTAGATAAAAAAATTAATTTTTTTTAAAAAATATTTTATCTTTATATGTTGTGAAGGCTCTTCTGATTGATTTCAGGTGAACATTTCTTAAAAATTAGGAACTTTATTAAGTTGTCATCTGATTAGATGTACACATATTGAACTGGCGGGATGGAGAAGAATAGAAACTAGAGATAAAGTCGAAGATGAGAGGAGAGTTCTAAGACAAAAGATAAGTGGAGAAGTTTATTTACTTGTCACACTCTTTAATACATTACATTAAGACTTATATGTAGACACCTTACATGGCATAACAGCAATTTAACATTGAGATGTAATAGTCATTTCATATATTTTATATATTTCATATATTAATATAAAATCCCATTTTAGTGCAGTTGAATCCCTAAAAAAGTAGGGTCCGTCTCTGGCTGAAACGAGTGGCGACTCGGGAGAGAAACATGAATAACCAGAGTTAGAGCAGAGGTAGAGTTAAGATCTAGACATGAGTGAGAGATTAGAACAAACCGTTTGATTGACAGTGATTTTGTGAAAATATATGCATGTTGATCCATAATAATGAAGTGTTGAAGGTGCTTTTGTTTGAGATTTTAATGATCTCTGACAAAATGATAGTCAACTTCTATGTGTTTAGTATGAGCATGGAAAACTTAATTGTGATCTAGCACAATAGCAGAGGTATTGTAGCTATGTAGTGTTGTTGGAGGTGAATGTTGGTTGGTAAGTTCTTGGAAGAATCCTCTTAACCGGATGATTTTTGCTATGATGGTAGCTAATGTTTCACATTCAGCTTCCGTAGGTGATCTAGATATCATGAATCATTTCTTTGTTGACAACGAGATGAGATTAGGTCTGAGGTAGATGCATAATTCAGATGACTATATAAGAAGTTACAGAAAGTAAAGTATCATTGTTTGAGAGCTTATTTAAGATCATATATATTTTATTTACAGTTTACATACATAATAAGGATAGTTATTTAGTGTCAGTATATCCAGAAGATTGTATACTTGAGTTATTATTACGGGATTCAGCAGTTTAAAGATTTTAAAAGACAAATTTTTTTTTACTAAAGTTATTTTTATTGGGATTGAATTACATATTTATTATTAGCACTGCGACGTGTCTGCTTTGTAATATTAAAAATTATTTACAAAAACATTACACAACAAATTTGCGCATCAAGAATCCATTGCAGTCTTCTGAAAAATTCAGAAGAACGATATGCCAAAATTTATGATAGACTTGTTTTGTAAACTGGGAGTTCATAATGTTATGTCGTTTTTTTCTTGTCATTGTGGAATGTTTGTCATAAATATCATGGAATGTCTGTCACAAATATCATGGAATGTCTGTCATAGATATAATGGAATGTCTGTCGCAAATATCATGGAATGTCTATCATAGATATCATAGAATTTATGTCACAAATAACACTTATAATCATAGAGTTAAGATTGAGAAAGATAATTTTATCTGTCAAAATATGAAATATCTTTGAATGAAGAACGAATGATTTAACGAGAGATGAGGAGAGAGAACATGTCGAGTCGTGTCCCACCGCCGCCAAATCTCATTGTTCATGTAGTTAGTTTGGTATTGTTGTTGAAAGGAGTTGTCACTCTGTTTATCCATTTTATTGTCCTAATCTCCAAGTAACTCAATCTTTTGAATCATATAAAAGATTCTCAGATATTAAGAAACTCGAAGAAAAAGGAAAAAAGGGCTAATAAAAATTTAAAACAGTAGATAAAGGAAATGTCGGAATGATTTTCATTACGATAATCATTATTAAAAAATGGATTCTCATACAAAGAAAATCACATGAAAAACTCAATAACCAGAGATATAGGTATATTACCTATTCTGAGTTCTTCATTCTCTTATAGAAGCTAGCTCCTATAGTTAATTACATCTCAAACAATCAAGACTGTCTAAGAAAACTCCTCATTAACGTTAACACTCATTCTTCTAAAAAATTTAATATCAAAATAAAGAAACATCAATGTTTGAACCTAGGGTAATAGGTTTTTAAGAATCCAATTATACCCTAAAGGTTTTGTTTTGTCGTTTTGTTTTTGTCGATGTCATTTTGTTTTGTCTTGTCTTGTCATTTTATTTTGTTTATGTCCTTAAGTTGTTTGTTTTTGTTGCTTTATTGTTTCTTTTTTTTAGGTTTTGTTGTTTTGTTGTCGTTATTCACATTTTCCACTTCAGAATATCATCCTGCAAAACAGAGTTAACACACTCTAATAACATGCAAAGTAAATCTAAAGCGTAATTCTTTATGTCTCCAATAAACCTGTAAAACAGAACACAATTAACATGATCATGTTTACATTTGTCAATTTAGTTGGTTGAATAACTTTTAAACGATTCAGTCAATATATATATGGCTCCATTTTCCCGGGGTCGTAAGGTATTCAAATCTACTTAGTCCAAAAGATGTTTAAACCAGAATCAGAAGATTCTTGTCAGCAACCACAAATTGCGTCATCCAAGAAATCTTCATAGATCTGAACACATATGTCAAGTTACATTCGGTGATCTTTGTTCATTTAGGTTCAATTTAAGTTTTAATGTCTTATTCGTGTTTTAGGGGTTGGAAAATTTTAGGTTGTTTACGATTGATTATTCAATTAAATTTTGTCACTTTTGTCGTTTATTTTTGTTTGGGATGACCCAATCAAGATCTCATGGTTCCGTCATCCCAGATCATTATGTTTGGGGTTTGATTAGTCACAAATGGCTGGAAGATATTTTTTTAACAACCATGGGTTATCTCCTTCAATATATCTTCTCAAACCTAGTTGCATTTGTAGGTTTAAGTTTAAGTTTTAATGTCTTTTAAAGTGAATTTTATGTTATTTGGGTTTATGTTGG